CGGTGGTGACGATTGGTTTGCACGTTGACGTCAGCGCCGTACTGCAGGAGCGAGAGCAGTGCGTACTTGGAGAGAGGTGTAAATACCATGATCACCGCACCGCCGCTTTATGTCAGCGCCGCTTCAATCAGCGCGCCGATGGCGCGTCCTTCATCATGGTCAGCGGCAACGTGGAGGAGATTGACGCCAAGTCTGACAGCGCCGTTGGGGTCCGCCCCACGCTTACTCAAGGAAGGCTTCGACTGTGTCTTTCGCAGCATTCCGAGCACCCCTGATTGCGCGAATGCGATGAAGAGCTCCTCACGAGTATGTCACGTCGCAAAAGTTGACATCGGCACCGGAGGCTAGCAGGGTCTCTACCGCCGAAGTCTAACTTACCTTCCTCTTGCATCCTTGCTCGCATCGCTGAAAAAAAGGCGTGGACCCTATTCCATGCTAGGCGGCTGCATGATGGAGCGGGGTTCACCTCTCACGTCCCGACTGTGAACGCTTGCTCCGGCCAGTATCAGATCGTTTGCAATGGCTGATAGCGTGCCCGCCGCAAATGGCCGATGTGAGGGCGCGAATTGGTCCAAAGGGCCTCGAAAGTTCACGTTGGCCCCGGCAAGCATCATCAACTCGTTGGTGACGTTCACGTCGCCCCGAGATGCTGTTGCCTTGTAGAGAGCCGATCTCCCCGAGATGGCCGACACCACCTTCACACCCAGCCGGGATTCTCCGCGAAGCACGGCAGACAGGACGCCCACGTTCCCACCGGAAATGGCGGCATCGATCATTGTCTGTCCGTCGCATCCCGTCCAACCACCCGTGAAGCTGGCGCCGGCACCGAGCAAAGCGTTGACAAGCAAGGTTCATCCAGCCGACCGCTAGCTGAGTGAGGCATGCTCCAGATGCGTCGTAAGCCATGCCACCCACTGCTCGGGCGTTGCTCCTTGAAGAACTACTGCGGTCGAATGCGTAGCTCAGTCGCTAAACCTTGCAATGGCTGACGGTTGGGATGGGTACATGTTGCCGGTTGCTCATGTTTGCGGCCTACGCCACCTATTTATCGGGTGAGACTGTTTTGGTGATGCATTAACTTCACGAGAGGTAGACAACCGTCCTTCACACGGACGAAAGAGGGAGTGCTCAAAGAGCGGCTCACACAGCAAGGAGGGGCTCCGTGTATCATCGCGGTACCCCCCACCAAACCGTAATCTTACCAGTCTGCGTGACGCCAAATCATCCAGCACATTTTTCTCGATGCTTTCGAAATTTGTCATTATTATTTTGCGTACCCCCTTTGCTCGCCAAGGGGGAGGGGAAAAGAGCGGAGACCAGGCAGGGCAACACCACACACGCCCCCGGTCTACTCCTTACGATCAGTATAAACATCAGCCACCCAACAGACAGAGACATATAAACTCTGTCTGCCCCCAAACCTAAGGTGCGCCATACTGATCCCCCCCCC